CCACAAATAAGTGAAACCATAGGATAATTGACTTTCTCTGCTTGACTTATTTCACTTAGCATTAATCTCCTCTAGTCCCATCCATGTTGATGTAAAAGTTGGGTATTCATCTTTCTGATGGCTGAGTAATATTCTGTTGTATATATGGACCACATCATTTTCCATTCATCTGTTGAAGGGCATCTTGGCTCTTTCCACAGTTTGGCTATTGCGGACGTTGCTGCTATGAATATTGGGGTGCATATGGCCCTTCTTTTCACTACATCCATGTTTTTGGGGTAAATACCCAGGAGTGCAATTGCTGGGTCATAGCATAGCTCTATTTTTAATTTTTTTGAGGCACCTCCACACTGTTTTCCAAAGTGGCTGTACCAACTTGCATTCCCACCAACAGTGTAAGAGGGTTCCTTTTTCTCCACAACCTCTCCAGCATTTGTTGTTTCTTGTTCTGTCCATTTTTGCCAGTCTAACTGGTGTAAGGGGGTATCTCAGTGTGGTTTTGATTTGAATTTCCCTGATGGCTAATGATGATGAACATTTTTTCATGTGTCTGTTAGGCATTTGTATATCTTCTTCAGAGAAGTGTCTGTTCATGTCTTCTGCCCATTTTTTGACTTGATTATTTGTTTTTTGGGTGTTGAGTTTGAGAAGTTCTTTTTTTAGACTTTTTTACAATTATTTTTTTAATTTTATTATGTTATGTTAATCACCATACATTACATCATTAGTTTTTGATGTAGTGTTCCATGATTCATTGTTTGTGTATAACACCCAGAGCTCCATTCAGTACATGCCCTCTTTAATACCCATCACCAGGCTAACCCACTCCCCCACCCCCTCCCCTCTAGAACCCTCAGTTTGGGTCTATAGTCTCTCATGGTTCATCTCCCCCTCCGATTTCCCCCCCTTCATATTTCCCTTCTTACTATCTTCTTTTTTTTAAACATATAATGTATTATTTGTTTCAGAGGTACAGGTCTGTGATTCAACAGTCTTACACAATTCACAGAACTCACCATAGCACATACCCTCCCCAATGTCTATCACCCAGCCACCCCATCTCTCCCACCTGAGTTCTTTATAGATCTTGGATACCAGCCCTTTATCTGTAGTGTCATTTGCAAATATCTCCTCCCACTCTGTGGGTTGCCTCTTTGTTTTGTTGACTGGTTCCTTTGCTGTGCAGAAGCTTTTTAAGCTAGTGAAACAAAAGCAAAAATGAACTTTTGGGACTTCATCAAGATATTTATTTCTTTTAGCAGATAATTGTAATATGCCTCACAGTTGGTGCCAGCATAAGGTATTATGACACTTTATTTGTAAAATAATTTAGGGATTAGGATCCTGACCCAAGATTTAGAGGCCTGGCTTCTTCTTTTGCCTTGGTGAACAGCATTCTCAATTCCTGTCTTATATTCCTTGTTATGAATTGTGAATACATTTGCTTATTTCTTTTCTATTTCATAGGGATAGTATGAGATTAAATTTAAATTACTGAAATAAATCCTTTTATCATCTCTGAATATGATTCAAGAATGGAATTATTTTCATTATTATCATGTTAATCTAATTTCAGAATTGGCAGAAGTAACAACTACTTCGAAGAGGTATTTTAAGCTTTAGCTGGTATGAAGTGCCAATACTATAATGGGGTTCATAACTATCACTTAATGTACATCTTTATTTATTTAGTTTTAAAGATTTTATTTATTTATTTGAGAGAGAGAGACTGAGAGATAGAGAGCACAAGAGGGAAGAGGGTCAGGGGGAGAAGCAGACTCCCTGCTGAGCAGGGAGCCCGATGTGGGACTTGATCCCAGTACTCCAGGATCATGACCTGAGCCGAAGGCAGTCGCTTAGCCAGTTAAGCCACCCAGGTGCCCTTAATGTACATCTTTAAACAATATTTAAAATTATCACCATGAATGATCGATCAATCAATAAACACAAAATATTATAATGAAAATTTTAAAAGTCAGATCGTTATCCCTCTAGATGTTTAATTTATATAATACCAAATATCCAGACTCTGTATTAAACTCATTTTTATCATACATACAAATTCATAAGTGGTTGACTTAGTTATTTGCTCTTGTCATGGAGTTTTGTCTTCACACAGACTAGAGGAAGGAATTAAAAATTAAAGATGAGTGCTATAAAACTTCTCCTCTGATGTTCAGTTAAGTTACATGGAAATAATTGGGTTGTTGGCAAGATCTAGGAATGACGGTGACATATCCCTGAGGTCTAATTAACCACAGCTAATAAACTTCACAGAACATGCCTACCAACAGGGTATTTGGTTGTGCCTGTGAGGGTGAAGAGCATGGTGCCATTTATAAATCAACAAAGCACTTAATGGAGCTTAACGAGTTGGTATTTTAACCTCACAACCTTACTTAGTTCTTGGTGAACTAACAGCTGCCTGGAACCCTGGCCATGAAGCTATGCCAGACAAGTTCACAGGTGAGATAATTTTTTCCCCAGAAAATCATATAATTATAGAATCTTATGTTTAAATGCATCTTACAAGTCATATAAACACCTCTCACACTCCACAGGTCTGAGGGTTAAATCTCTTCAGGAAGTGATGCAACACAATAGACAGAATCAACTACATACCACCAATTTAGAAGTAAAAATATTTTGGGCTCTTTTTTCTTATTGATATATATTTTAATTAGTTAGAATCATGTTATATATTCAAATTTGCATCCAAACTCTTCTCCACCTATTATTACAACATAATAATTTTCCTTTGGCATTGTGTAATTTTTAAAAAATCTCTGTTAAAAACACATTATTCAAACAGGTGCACTATATTTTACTTATCTGTTTCTCTAATGTTGGACATTGTATGCAGTTTCTAATTTTCCATAGGTCTTAATAGTTGTGTTGAACAGATTTGAACATAATAATTTTTTAAAAAATATTTTTCTTTGGGTTTTATTCCTAGAAAGAATACTGTGGAGTCAAAGTAAAAGGACAAAATAACTTCTATGTCTTCATAGCTATTTCTAAATAACTTATTAACTACATCTTATTCTTACTTTATGTACACCATACTCTTTTATGATCTGCTGTGGGAGTGCACCTCAGAATAAGAGAACACAATGAAGCTGCTGCACTTGATTTTCACACGTGAGTAAAATTTTCATTTTGGATAATTAAAAAATAAAATTCTTTGTCCATTTATCTTTGCAAGGAAAGAAATATTTTCTTGAAAAATTCATTTCATTATATTTACATTTTCTTCTTTGTTTCCTTTGGGAACTATATGTCCCCAAATTTCCTCCTTGAATTAGTAATGCAATATCCTGCAACCAGGAATGATGGATGATGGATGCCATGGAGAATGCGAAAAGGAGGCACGAAAAGCATATAAGAGAAACATAAAGGAGTGGAGGGATCTCATGAATGAATGCATTGCTGCTGTTTGGTAATCAAGTATTGGGGAGGGGATTATTAAGGCATTTAAACAGGGACAGTTTTTTTTAAAGATTTTATTTATTTATTTGAGAGAGAGAATGAGATAGAGAGAGAGAGCATGAGACGGGGGAGGGTCAGAGGGAGAAGCAGACTCCCTGCTGAGCAGGGAGCCCGATGCGGGACTCGATCCCGGGACTCCAGGATCATGACCTGAGCCGAAGGCAGTCGCTTAACCAACTGAGCCACCCAGGCGCCCCTAAACAGGGACAGTTTTTATGACTTTATGTGGACAAACATACATTTATATACATAGGAATTGTCCAATAAATGTTTGTTAAATGAGTGAACACTTAATAGGCACGTATAGTAAGTAGTAGATTTTATGTATTTGTGTGTGTATATGTATATACATAGTGTGTTATCTATCTTACCTATTTTTTCTGTTCTCCACATTAAATTTCTAATTTTAAAACATTTAAAATAAGATCCTCATGTATTGAACACCTATCCAAGAGTTTTTATCCTGTTCTACTGAAGCCGTCAACTTACTGAATGTGGTTATGTTAAATTGTATGTGGAACAGAATGTTGAAGAATAAAAAAAGTAACTAATAATAATCTTGAAAGTAAAATGACCGAGGAACATATTCTTTCCTAGAAGCAATTAATATCTTCATACTCACCCCATAAATTGTGTCAGAAATTATTAAACTAGAATGCAGCTTTTTTCTTCAGAAGTTTATTTGTTTCTCATAAAGTAGAGAGTGAAAACAGAGTGGGAGGACAAGAGCACTTGGATATCTAGGTTTATGGGCTGGGGAAGTGAGTGCATTCTTACCTGTGGAGATGCAGGAAGTGTGGCAATTCACCAAGCAGTTATTAATTACCTAACCAGCACCAGACACTGCAGACATTGTGCTGGGCAGTGTGGTAGGCACAGTGAAGAGACACAAGAACAGTATATATGTTATGGTAGGTACCAGGGAGGACATGTCACCAATGGCTTGTACCTTTCCTGTTTTAAACCACCTGCTTATGATAGACACTTACTGACCATGTCTTTCTTTCCACAGTGAGAGCTGAGGGTTCAAATGTAAATTCCCTTGGAAGAGGGAATAACTCTTATTTTATAAAATACATGTGAGAATTAACAATTTGTAAGCTCATGGACACAGAGGATGGCTCAGAAGCATGGGACACTGACATGACTTAATAAAGTCACATAGAGTTGGAACCAGGAAAATCCCAATCTCATGTTTATAACCCAGTGTTTTCTCAGTAAATTTATACTTCACATTTCTCCCACCTATGGGTGTTTATAGGTGGCAGGTATGAGGTATCTGAGGAGATGGAAAGCATTGTGGAGGAAGTAAAGAAGAATTGAAACTAATGTTGAGGCAAGGAGTGCCCAGGACATGCTCCGCAGTTAGTCACTGATTTTTTTTACTATGCAATTCAGACTACAATCCTTTCATGGATAATTGCTACCTCTTTTTATCCCTTTGTAGGGAATTCAGGCCCCAGGAAATTGTTACTCCCAGAATGGATGGCCTCACACCACCCAGAAATGTGGCTGAATTTATTCTCTTGGGACTCATGCAGAATCCACACTTGCAGAAAATGCTCTATGTGGGTTTTTTTTTGTTCATTTTTCTATTTACTGTGCTGGCCAATCTGCTCATTGTCATTACCATCTCCCTCAGCCCCACACTTTCGGCTCCCATGTATTTCTTTCTCACTTACTTGTCCTTTATAGATGCTTCCTATGCCTCTATGACCACCCCCAAAATGATCATCGACCTGCTGTACCAGAGGAGAACCATCTCCTTGGGTGGCTGTCTGACTCAGCTCTTCATCGAGCACTTCCTGGGAGGATCAGAGATCATCCTCCTCATTGTCATGGCCTATAATCGCTGCATAGCCATCTGCAAGCTCCTGCCCTACACGACCATCATGAGACAGGGGCTCTGCCACCTCCTGGTGGTGGCCACTTATTGGTTGGATTTACTTTAATCTCTTTTTGCAAATTATCAAAATTTAAGTATCTGCCTAATCCAGATCATGAGAGTAACAACTATAAGAGTATGTTTGTGTTTAGGGATGTGCTCTCAGGAAGCAGAGGAAGAAGAATAGCTGGTATGTCTAAGGTGGTTTCAGAGCAATTTTTATGTCTCCTTTCTTTCATGCAACTCTGTGTGTGTGTATGTGCATGCCATGCACACACATGTATATATATGTACATGTATATGTATATATATTATATATGTTTCTGCTTTCTTCTTGTACCGAGTTCCTTTAACTTTGATTTTTCTACTAATCATCTTTGAAAAAGGTGTTTTTATTTCTATTTTAATTAACACTTCAAATATTTGGTTTTCATTTGTAATGTAAATATTAATTAGCTCTCCAACCCAGAAAGGTGCTATTGAAGATAATTCCATGTCCACTCATCTCTCAAGGAAAGCAAAATGAATTAACAAGACTTACTGACAAAAAATAATCCTTTTAAAGCCATTGATTAGAGACAGATTCTATTAATGATGCATATGCTCTGGGTACAGATATTCTGAGGAACACAGAGCTATTGATTGCTCGTTAAAAATGACATCCCAGTGGCCTTTTTTTTTTTAAAGATTTTATTTATTTATTAATTTGGGAGAGAGAGAGAAACAGCATGAGAGGGGAGAGGGTCTGAGGGAGAAGAAGGCTCCCTGCTGAGCAGGGAGCCCGATGTGGGACTCAATCGCAGGACTCCGGGATCATGACCTGAGCCGAAGGCAGTCGCTTAACCAACTGAGCCCCCCAGGCGCCCCCCGGTGGCATTCTTAAACACATTGCTATAACCTTCTTGTGGTCCAGGATTTTATTGAAGAAATTATTAGGCTCTATAAGAAATTCACACATTTAGGAACATGCATCAGCTGTAAAGTCGGCTTCTATGGTTCAAATCCAGGTTCTATCACTTCTTAACTGTATATCCTTAAGCAAGTTAATTATTCTGCTTTTACTCAGCCATAAAATATCTCTAAACAAAGCCAGATGTGAGAATTAAATGAGAAAATACATATCAAGTACTATCAGAATATCTAGAACATAGCACATACTAAATAATTTATGATTATTGTTTTGATAGGATATCTGTGTATAGACTATCTCTACATAGATGTTACATTGCATAAATTTATGTAGTCAGTTCACTTTAGCTTCATCTGGAGACCAATAATATATTTTTTTGTTTAGGTCATTGATGAAATTCTATGAATGAATGATTAAATGCAGATTAAAGTGAGGTATGATTTTTTATCTTACCGTTTGGTTAATATAACCAAGATTGATAATATTTAGTGTGAGTAAGGCTGGGGGGAAAACTACACTTTAATACACTATTGATGAGAATTGAAGAGAATGAAAGATGCTTCAGGATTTTGGTAGAACAAAGCTACAGCATCTGTCAAAGTTCAACACATACATATTTTTTATTTGGTTTTGACAGTTCTAGGAATTTCACTGGCAGAAAAATTCAAACCAGAAAGTAAAAATTTCTGTGAAGAGATGTTCATTGCATCATTGTGTGTAAGACAGAATACTAGAAAGAGCATAAATGTCAAGCAAAAATGTACTGGTTTAATGAATTATGGTACAACCACAAAAGAGAATAATCTGTAGAAATTAAAATGTAGGAAAAATTATAACTGTTGACAAATAGTGCCCATACAATTAAAGTTTCAAGAATATTATTATGTTTGTATATACTTGTTTATAGAGTAAAACACATAAGTGATTGTATGCATTCAATATACCTAAACATACAAATGCGCATCTGAAGAGCATGCAATAAACTGTCAATAGAGGGTCCAATAGAGCTTATGGTTGGGAGTGGTCCTTTGACATTAAATTTTCTACCACTCTATCTATCCATACAAAATATTTTCCAAGGACTATGGTCTTACTTTTGTAATTTATAAAAAATTAAACGAGCATTTAGTAGAAGCATGTGTATACACCTAATAAAATCTAAAAGCATTTGCTAGAAGCATATGTAAAAATATGATGCCAAGGCAAAGGATCTGTTTTAAAATAGTTTGTGGTCAGTATCCTTCTCATCATTCTAAGAAAAGAGATGGAGCTGCTGATCTAAGCCCTTTACATTTATAAAATCATTTAATCCTTACATTACCTTCCCATTTTATAGAAAATGAAGTTGAGGCACAGAGAGGTTATCTGGCCTATTCTGTGTATTCAGAAGTGAGAACTGACTGTAGTGTGGAAAATCAGGAATTTTGTAAGATCTTTAAGATTATAGCTCTTATTGCGTATTCCCAGTTGAGCGCCAGTCCAGCTAGGTTTACCTACTCAAAGCACCTTTAACTAGGGTTACTAGGGGTGTATGTGACTAAGTTTAATGAGATACCAAAAAAAAAAACCAAGCATAATAGCATTTAATACACATTTGAACTATAATTTATGTTAATATCTTATCACATTTTAATGTTTATAAATGTAAATATCAAAACCTAAACTGTAATGCTAGGAGCTTATGATGTTTAATACACCAACTCTGAAAAAAAAAAAACCACGGAGATTTAAAGAGAATGTGTAACTTCCAGTTAATTACATTCCTGCAAGGTCCTGAATGAAATGTAGTTTGTGTGATGTCAAAGTCCACGTATTTTGACTGTGTACCTTATGTTTTTCCTTTCTTCATGTCTTGCTCATGCTGTTCCCCTTCTTGTTTACTTTCTACATTATAAATTTAGAATTTGCTAAATTCTCATGTCAAGTCTTAGCTCATCTCATCTTCTTTGAAATCTATGGACAATAATGATAATTTTCCTTCTGGAAGTTATATTGTACACGTATTATTTCAGGAGTGCTTATCCTGTATCCCTCTTTCTGGATAGGGCACTTCCTGATTCCCTCACACTCTTGGACATGCTATGGAATGGAAATACGCACTGTCTAGGCAATAATTAGACAACTGAAGAAATGTAATTCTTCACTTTATATGAACAGGTTTTTTTTAGCGGTGGTATTTCAGAGGATCCCTGGAAAAAGAAGGCATTATTACAAAGAGGATCTGAAGGCAGTGATTCAACACTGAAGTGGAAGTCCAAGGTATGGCTCTGCTCTTGGGTTTGGTTAAAGCATGTGTAGGAGTAGAAAGGAGAGAGCTGAATGATGGTAAATGGGGTATGTGGATACATGAGCCTGGATGCCAGAGGAATAGCAGCCAGGCTCTGACAATGGCACTCTCTCATTTCTGGAGGCAGGACTGGCACCACCATTGCCTGGGGCCCGTGGTTCAATGCTGTTTTCATTGGACGAATTCAATTTCATGGGTTCAATTAAATTTAATTAAATGCCTCGTGTGTACACAGAGCAGCATTAGAAATTTGTGAAAATAGAATAAATTAGCTATCCTTAAGCATCCACATAAGGAGATAAAACCAACCTGAAATTAAAAAAAAATGACTAGGAAGACAATTGAATTATTGTTGATATGCACCCTATATGGGTATTGTAACACGTATCCAGGATGGTGGTGGTGAAAAGGGCACTGGGGAGGCAGTAAGGCAGGAGAGAAGAAGAAGAATGGATTTCTTGACAACAGAGGCAGGAGGCAGGAGGAAGTGAGAAGTTTAGGGGAATAGAAAATAATCATGAATAATAGGTTAGTGTTCCCCAAACATTCTCATGCCTGGTACTTCCTTTGATGCTCATGAAAGTATTGTGAGACAGGGTGTTTAATTCTTAGAGAGGCTGCAGAAGATGGTGGTTAGTAGACTGTGCTATGAACTTGGTCACAGCCTCACCCAAAGTGTACAGGCTCTCCAAGCATTATCCACTGCATCAGAAAATCAAGATAATACCAGTTCATGTCTCATATGGCTTTTGTGGGACTTAAAAGAGGAAATCATGAAGCTCTTAGCACAGTACTCTCAAATAATAACTCCATGACAGATACTAACTTTAACCGCTATTACACTGTTTTATTTTTGCAGGACTGAAGATTATATTAAGTCAGTAAGTGGCATGAGTTCAAAGAGAGTTAAGTCTGCTTGCTCTGAACCCATGGCCTTTCCCACTGTCCTAGACCGACCGAGATGTGTGTTCTGGTAATAAGAGATGGACTTGACTGCTGTGGGAGGGAGACATACAAAAAAAAAAATGATGTTGATTACTATAGGCAATTTTTTTTTTTTTGCCATGACCAATGGCAAGGAGCTAGGTAGGAACAGAGTTGCTGTGTTTGAGAGGGCCAGAGTCCCTGAGCTGGCTTCTTTGAACGCCTAGCATGGCACTCATCTGTGATGCCTCCTCTCCAGATGAGGTCCAGAGTGGTGAGCAATGTCACAACACATCCTAGGAGTTAGAGGAATAATTTGAAATAAAAGCCAGTTATCCTGATTCTGAGACTATCTTCCTTCTACTTTATTGGAGCTACTAAAGCACTTTGGAAGTTCTTGGGCTGGAGATTGGGGTTAGCCCATATTGCAGATTGCAAACAGTGTCCTGGAAGCTGTGTACCTTGTTTAGTAAAAGGGATAATATGAAAGATGTGTCTTTGGGTATTTAGAGGAGTCTTGGAGAACCTTATTTTATATTCTCAGTTAAAGCAGTAATGGAGTCCCACCAAGTGGCAGAGAGCCTCTGCCTAAGGATCCATAGCCAGAAGAAGTTTGCTACTGGAGTGGTACTTTCACTGTACAATTTGGCTGCAGTAACATTTGTATTTAGCTGATTGAGACCACTGTTCATCCCTTCAGGACTACAGTTTCATAGTTAAGAGTTTGTGTTTCAAAATGAGATCACATGGAGTCCTAATCCCCACTCATTTTAGAGGAGATGTTCAATGTCTCCAAACATTAGTCCCCTCATTCTCAAGCAGGGATTTGTGATAGCACCCACCTCATGTGATATGAAAAATAATTGCCATAATGCATGTAGCAGACCAAGTACCTTGCTAGTACATAGTGAGTGAAAAATAAATGAGTTGTTTTATTGATGTTTTGATTATTCTTTAGAATCCTTTGTTTCATCTGGGGCACTCCTTCACAAGGAAACATGGAAGGAATGATTTATACTGATTCAGACTCCTGTGCAGGGATGGATCTGGGTCTTCCTGGAGCAGCAAAAGAGGCAAAGTTTTATTTTCTTTAATCAGCATATCTGGAAAATTATTAGAACCTTGGAGCCTTGGTTAAAGTTTATAACTTCTCATTTCAGGATTGGATAATATACATAATTAGAACATATTCTTTATTGTGGAATTGTCATCAAATTTGTTGAATTTTACTCTATAGAATTTGTCTAGTAACATGAGCACAGGAAGCAAATCGCTCACTGGATTGTGTGATACTGAAATTATATCATGAAGCACATGTCTCTATCATATTGAGCACTTGATAGGATCTTCAGAGGAGCAATATAGCTTGCTGTTGGTATTGGTTTTGATCCAGGAGAAACTGGATATGAATTTGGTTTCAATGTTTTCTAGCTATGGGAATTTAGTGTCATTGTTTTCTACCCTTTTTAAGCTTCCATAACTTATCTGTGAAATGAAGAAAATGTCTCAAAGGGTATTCCACTGCCTGAGACATATAGGGATTCACTGAATATTTGCAATATGTAATAATAATCCAATCTGAGAGGTAGAGATGTACATAGAAAGAGTATCATTCTTACGAAGTGCGGAGTCCTTGGGATATGACTTGTCTTGTAGGCTGTTCAACCAGTTCATTCTAGGTACTCAGAAATATTTGGAGAAAGTGAATGAGAATTTATATGAAATGGTCCAAATTCTTGGTTCTTGGTTGTGTCTAGTTATAAATGAATGTCAACTTTCTAGCTTGAGGTTACTAAAATTCAGAGACTGAGAGAAGGGCTTGTATGTAGGTGGTTTATTCTGGAAAACAAAATGGAGGCAGTGAATGGAGAGAGTGAAACAAGGAAGAAAGGGAAGTTAATCCAAGTTTGTGTTAAGTTGGTTGTCATTTATTCACCGGCTCCTATTTACTAATGACCTAGGAGTTCCTTAAAGTATGTTAATCCCTTCATATTTTGAGGTGTGAACATGCTCCAGAATGATGAAGCAGGATTTTCCAAGTGTCTCAAGCAGTAAATATTGGAACAGAAAGCAAGAGATTTTCTGTGAAATGGAAGTGTTGTTGGAGGGATCAGCTAGGATGGAGCTGTTGTCAAGTAACACCGTTAGCAGCTTGTTGCTGTATCAGTGGCTCCAGCCACTGGAGAATAAAGTAGGTCAAGAGGGTATGAGACACAGTGTAAAAATTTTCCAGCACACTTAGTGATTACTAATTAAAAATAATATTCTTTTATAGATTTTCCACCTCAGAGTGGTGTGCTTATACAGCCCATAGTAAATGGAGAATCCAAACAATGTGACTGAATTCATTCTTTTGGGCATTACAGAGAACGCGGAGTTGCAGAAAATATTCTCTGCTGTGTTTCTAATCATGTTTGTGTCCAAAGTTTTAGGAAACCTACTCATTGTGGTAACCGTAATCACAAATCAGAGTCTGAGATCACCTATGTGTTTTTTCCCTACTTCCTTGTCCCTAATGGATGCCACCTACTCTTCTGTCATTGCCCCCAAGATGATTGTGGACTCCTTCTCCAGGACGCTACCATCTCCTTAGAAGTCTTCCTGACCCAGCTCTTTGCAGAGCATTGCTTTAGTGGTGTGGAAATCATCCTTCTCATCATGATGGCCTATGACCACTACCTGGTCATCTGTAAGCCCCTGCACTACATGACCGTCATGAGCTCTCGGGTATACTCTCTGTTGCTGGGAGCAGCCTGGGTGTGTGTGGGAGTTATCATCTTAATACAGCTGATAATACAGCTTCTCTTCATGTATCAAATACCCTTCTGTGGCCCCAATGTCATTGATCACTTTATGTGTGATTTGTTTCCCTTGTTGAAACTGGCCTGCGTGGACACCCACACCCTGGGTCTCTTAGTCATCCTCAACAGTGGGGTGATGTGTGTGACCATCTTCCTTATCCTCATTGCCTCCTACGTGGTCATTCTCTGCTCCCTGAGGTCTTGCAGCTCTGAAGGGCAGTGCAAAGCCCTCTCTACCTGTGGCTCCCACCTCACCGTGGTCATCTTGTTCTTTGTGCCATGCATTTTCCTGTATTTGTGGCCTGTGGCCACTTACCCCATAGACAAGGCAATGGTTGTGTCTTTTATCATTGTTGCACCTATGTTAAATCCCTTGATCTACACCTTGAGAAATGCTGAGGTGAAAAATGCCATGAGGAAACTGGTGAAATGAGGGACCCTGGGCGTCATTGGTTTACATGCTAAGGACAGATCTTTCCTACAAGGACAATGAAGTCCTGCCAGTCCCATGCATTCTAATCCATTGGGCACATAGCAGCCAATGGCATCTTTTAAGTGTGCAAATCAGGTTAAGATACTACCATCAAGTTATTTCCTATTTCTCTAGGACATGTTGTGCTCCATTCCTTTTCTTACAAGGCTCTGGTCACTCTTTTTCTTCTTCTTCTTTTTTTAAATAATTCAAATCTGGTTTTCAATAATTCAGGTCCTGGTTCAGGGTCTTCGTTCTTACTTTGCTTGCTGCTGGACTTCTCTTTCCCAAAGCTATTGCTTCGTTGGCTCCACCTCATTTTTTTTTTTTCCCAGTTTCACCTCCTTAAGGTGAAACTTCCACTTCCTTAAACAAGTCTCTCCTGATGACTTTCCCCGGTCATTCCCTTCAGTTACTCTCTGCCTCTTCACTCCTGGATTCATTTTACATGTCCTCACCTTGCCTCATGTCAAAAAGAAGAAAAAGCCCATGGCAGCATAAATAACTTGTTCTCTGTAAAAAATTTAGGATTATAGTATTTCTGTTTTAATTATAGAATTACAGAACTGGAAGGATTGTAATGATATTCCTAGCCTTACATATTTTTAATCTGTTTGGGAATTTTCCTAGTGTCAAAAGCAGGTACAAAAGCTGCATCTTTGATTACATAGGTAAGAGCTGTTCTTACCATTTGTGCTGAAATTACTACCTGTCAGTTTGATTTCACAAATTTCTTCTTTTATCTATTCTATGGGTTCCCCAGATTAATTCACATTAAGTAGCTTTACTCATTAAACACATTACTTAGGAGTTCAATGCTTGACTTCTTAACACTAACATCTGAAACAAATTTTGATCTTACTACTTCTTTATAAGAACTTGCTGTTACTAATGTTAGCTTGTAAATCATATGATTATCTCTATATTAAAATTGAAACATTCAATACTATTCATGATACAAAGGCATAGCAAAATAGAGTAAAATGGTGTCTTAGATTGGAGAAGAATATCTGCCTAAAAAGCTATTGTATGCATCAAATTTATTGGGAAACATTAGATGAACTTGCTTCCTATTCCCCTGAGGAAAATTAAGCCATCAAAACATTTCACAGAGTCATATGTATCTACCAATCTACCAGCATCTGTCCAATTATATGTTACCTTCCTACTTTCTCCAATAAACACATTACCTGTGCTCCTATCCAAAGACAGCCAATCTTTTATAATCTTTGGTCTGAGCCTCATCTCCTTATCACTTACATATAGGCATCTCTTATTTCATATTTCATATTTCCCTTACTAATGGATCATTTGCTTCAGCAAAGAAGCAGTCTGTTATCTCTCTCATTTTTAAAATAAAACCTTCCTTTGATCTTATTTCCTATATCAGCTACTACTCCATTTCATTGTCTCCTCTTTGTAGCAAAACTTAAGAGGTTCTGTAAAGTCTGTTTCCCAATTCTCTCTTTCTATTCTCTTTCAATCTTTTCCAGCCATGATTCAGTACCTAACACTGAAAACGCACTTTTCAAAGTCACCAGTAACATCTGTGTCCCTTAATTTAATAGTCTTTCCTCATTTTTCATCTTATGGACTCCAACTTTGAATCCAGTCATCCATGTTATATTCTTCCTACATGACCATGATTCCCAAATTATTACCTCTAGCTCAGGCTTCTTTCCTGAAGTTGAGTTCTGGAAATCCAACCTCCCTCATGGCATTTCCACTTGAAGGACTAATGTATTCTTCCCCATCTCTAAACCTACTCCACTCACAACATTCTTTACTTCAGAAGATGGCGTATGTGGACTCTTTCTCATACGCCACATCCAGGTTATCAGGAAATGCTGTTGGCTCTACTCCATTAAACCTATAAGTCAGAAGATAGCCCCACCTCTTCTCAATACTTTGAAATGACTCTTCATGTCACTCAGGTTAAAATCTAAAAAGTTTCTAATTACTAATAATTAAGCAATTATTTGCCCTGTTACTATTCTGATCTCCTTGTTTACATTAAACCCTCAGTGACTCCTCTTGTTACTCTGGCATCTCTCTGTTCCTCTTACTGGCCAGTTATGTTCTTGCTATGGGGACTTTATGCAGGCTATTTTCTCAGTCTGGAATACGTTCGTCCAGTCATCTGCATGACTAACTCACTTTATGTTCATAGATTGGAAGAACTTATATTTTCAATAGTACTGCCCTTATGCGTGGGCAAGCAAATCTTCTGTTCTTGATTGCTTGGAAGTGTCTTCTGTGAGGTTTTCTAGGTTCTCCAGTGTCTGGGACTGGGCAGTGCCCTCTGGTGAGGTACTCCAGCCTGGACCTGATTGTATGGGTCTTATCCTTGTTTCCTCTTTTGGGATGCGCTTTGACTCTCTATGCTCTTCCTGGGGTCAACCAAATGCCCTAGAAGCTCTGGATTCTGCACCTATAAAGTATCCTAGGTTCTATGCCCAGAACCTTGGCTCCAGGAGGGCAGTGTGTCAAGAAGAGGCATTATTCCAACCTACAAAGGTTCTGAAGAGAACAGGAAGAGAAGGATTCTATCTGAACTAGCAGACAGGTGCTTAGACACCAGGAGGACTCTTTCTGTGTTCTAATCAGACAATAAGCAAATATAAAAGTAACTCTTCTCTACTTGCAATTCTAGAACTCCATCAATAATTCACTATATCTCACACTGAGTATTCACCTAGGCAGATGTCCTATAAAAAATTTGGTTGTCTCTGCCCAGCAAAGCCCTGATTTTAGAGACACCATTTTCTGTGATGAATTAATAACACCCCTCCAACAGAATGACAAAATGTATTTTCATGGAAAATGATAAACTGATTCTAAAGTATCTATCTTTGTGTAGCTATGTTTGAACAACTTTGGCAATAAAAGCAGTGTGAGGGACACAAGATAGAGGACAAGATCTTCTACATATCAGAACATATCATAAATCTCTGCTTTGTAAACATTTTGCTTGTAGGCCTGTTAATAAAGAACTCTAAAGAACCAAAGAAATGGCCCAGAGGTTATTCCATCTATTTTTGGAAACTTGGTATAAATTTTGTAATTTAATAAATGATAAGGGTGGGTTTTTAAATCTGTGGGTAGAATGGTTTATGGGATCAATTCTGGAAGGGCAAATTGCTATTTATCTCCCTCTACTCCATCCCCCCATTTCATATATTTCTTTGTGCCTGTCTCTGTCTCTGCCATCTCTTGTTTTTGATTTGTAAAGCTGTTTTCTAAAGCTTCACCTTATATTTGCAAAAATAAAATGTTTGTTATATTATCTGTCCCATACCATCTTTACACTATTATTTCCATGTTATACCACTCATTTCCTCTAACAGAATCAAATAATTAATAATGAAGCAAACCAGGGCATGGAATAAAGTAGAAGATGCCAAGTGTGGTTTTAAGTAGGAACCAGGGTTCCAGGATTAATTGTTGGAGTCCTGCTGTTGAGCCATGTGTTTAGATCATCTCCTCCAGGAGTGTGGTCTTGGTCAGATGGTTTTTCTAGTCAGGGAAATTCTCTAAAATGTCAGTTAAAAGAAAATAATGCTTGTTCCTTAACACCATAGGTGAATAACGCCTGTTCCTCAATACTACAGGTGAAGGTGCTTCTGCATGTTCACTTTTCTGATGAATCACTTCAATTCTACTTCTTTTTGTCAGATGTGAATAGACATAAAAATAGGCAGGATATAAGAGTGTATAGAACAACAAACTCCTGGGTACTGACCCTCTCTGAAAGGACCTCATGAGCTAAGTCCAAGTTTCCCTCAAGCTTCAATCTCAGAGCTACCTAGATTCAGAGGAAGCAGAGCTGTCCTTCCTTCTCTTTAAAAGTATAGAAAGAGAAAAATTCCTTCAATCTCTAAAAATTGTGTTTTTTAGTTTTAAAGTCATGGCATATATAGCTTAAGTACCAAGGAAGAGAAAAGATTTTGGATTATTCCATACATCTTTGCACATTATTCATAAAATGTGTTAATCTTTAACAAGCACCTGTTGCTACTCTAATCCCAGCACACTACTGGCTCTTGTGGATTGATGTTGTGCTTCTTCCCAGACCTCAGCTCTTATATTTAGTAACTACACTGGCATTTTGCCTTAATCCTACACAGAGATATTGTATTCCATCCCACTGCACAGTTTTCTATTCCTGAATATGAAGGGAATGGAAAGCATCTTCAAATGGAAACCCCGGAGAATTTGGAAAAAGAAAAAAAAACTTTAATTGGTTGGAGACATATAAGTTTTGCAAATCCTTCAGCAAATCAAACCACAGCTAACTGTGTCTTGAAAAATCATACTGATAGGAAATTTCCAAACCCTGAGGAGAACTGAGAAGCAATTCTATACAGTCATGACCTCTCATGGAAACTTCTTTAAATTACAGTTGGAAATCAAAGAGGAAACTTTTGCTTCTTTATTTTTTTTTCCCTGAGACCATGTTGAAGATTGATAAGCAGTGGGGAACATTCTTTACCTTGTCTGCCAGAGATACTCTTCCTCTCTCTCTTACATGTAGAAGTAAGACTTGGAAACACACTTCACGTTTTGGATAGCCATTGAATGGACTTTTCTCCATGGAGTATAGGAGATTACCATCACTAGAATTTTCAAGAAACTGACAAATGGTGAGATTTATAATGCACATTTTAAAGTGTGATGTAGTCTGTAAAGTATGGATGTTGTGGTTCAAGCTACCAAGTTTAAGGCAAGCATGGGTTTGTCACATAATTGTGTACACTTGGGCTAGCTACATAACTTTTGGCCCTAAATCTTCAATTTTAATGTAGATTATATATTAAAAAGTGCAAAGGATTTGGAAACAAAATGATGGAGTTCACAGGACAGCAATTGACACAATAATATGTGTTCAATAAATAGCAGTTGTTAGAATGCAAACTTTTTTGGAAGGTTAGAAGTACCTATTTCTTCAAAACTAATGAAATTAGAACTTTCTTTACTTTTTCATCTTCAAGTTAAGTCCAAATGATGATGAAATGCAACAAGTACCTATTTTGGTCCTAGTCATTGAATCCTGTTTTTTTTATTCTTTCTAATTATATTCTCATTTATCATTCATCTTATAATGCTGTCTCCATCCTGATGTTTTAGGTTAAAAGGTGGACTTTTTTGAGGCTGTAAGGAATACTGATGTACAAAAAGGCAAATTTAAGTGCTATTTACTATTTACAGAGTTATTATATGTAATACAGAACTCTACAGTCCCACAACAAATGCCTAAAAAAATGGCACAGGGAAGTACATTAAGGGTAAGCATGTGTCTTATTCAAGTCACAGAGCAGAGGCTTCTGATTTTAAATATGTCCACTTAATTTTCTCTAAGTGCATTTGATGCCAACAATAACATTAGATTTCTGCCTCAGAATCTTTCAAGAATATTTACATGGCTGGATCTCTGCACTGCTTTAGTGCTGGTTGTTGGGGTTTGTCTCTCTTAAAGTGAGCTATATCACAAAGACAACAGAAGTACAGGAGGCTCAGGCATCCCTCAGGAAGGACACAGGTGGAAGCAGAAAGGTTTTCAGTTTTATTTTTTTTCAATTCTAGACCTAGTAAGAGTATAAAATAGTAAGAGTATAAAACATTTAGGGGAATCAGCAGAGCAATATTTAAAAGACAGAAAGGGA